AAATCAGGTTTGTGGAAAGTGGATAAATTTATTAGCGAGCACATATGTGAAATGGACACATTCAATGAGAATCACTTCAACTTGGATGTGGACTTGATTTCCCTTGTCTTGATTCCATTTTTGGAAGTGTCCATTAGGTTCAAGATTAAAGAGTATATTACAGCCGTCCACAGAGTAGTTGTACTATAACCAAAAGAAAGGCATATCTCGGTCGCAAACGTGCCTTTGAACTTATTTATGGCGACTGGGATAAGTCTTTTTCAAATCTGCCCAGGTACATGGCCGCACTGCAACACTTTAACCCCGGGACTGTTGTTGAATGGAGGCATGAGCTGAGTCCGGAATATATTTTCAACTATGTGTTTTGGTCATTTAAACCAGCAATTGATGGTTTTGTGCATTGTCGTCCTGTAATTTCCATAGACGGTACTCATATCTATGGAAAGTATGATATTAAGCTTTTGATTGCAGTTGCAGTAGATACCAACAGACAAATATTTCCACTAGCTTTTGCCATTTGTTCCAACGAAAGTGAAGAGACGTGGACGCTTTTTTTGAACCACTTGAAGCAGCACGTTGTCAAACAGCGTTCAGGTATTTGTCTAATATCTGATCGGCATGGTGGTATTTTAAGTTCTGTACGTCACTTGCCTGAATGGCATGAACCATATGCATACCACCGTTACTGTGTGAGGCACCTGAAGGCCAATTTCCAGAAGAAATTTCCTGACAAGGCCTTGCATGACTTAATGTGGATGGCTGCAACTGAGCACCAGCAGTGCAAATTCACGAGGCGCATGGAAGCGATCCGGCAGATAGATCCATGAGCCTATACTTGGTTGATGCAACATGAGCTTCACATGTGGACATTGCATGCTGATGGCGGCAGACGATGGGGAGCCCTCACTACAAACGTGTCGGAGTCATTCAATGGCTTGTTGAAGTCTGTCCGTGGACTGCCTGTCACTGCCATGGTCCGCATGACATTCAAACAGAGTGCGGAGAGGTTTGTTGAAAGGCATGCAGCTGCATCGGCATTGGTGGACAGGGGTGTTGAATTATGCCAATACCCATGAGAAGATTTGAAAGGTCCAGGAGGCGAGCACAGTGACATTCATTTTTTCAGTACGATCATGAACGGGGTATTTTTGAAGTTAAGACCGCTATCAACGGACACCGTGGGAATAATCTACAGACGGTGAATGAAAATAGAAGGTTATGTTCATGTGGGAAATGGACCATTTACCACATGCCGTGCGAACATGCGTTGAAGTGCTTTCAACAAGTTGGTTATGGGGCAACAAACTATATTGATAGGCAATACAATGTTGCTGCATACGTAGACACGTATAGTGGGAAGTTGCATCCATTAGGTGCTGAGCATTATTGGCCGCCGGAACCTTTTAAGATGGTATGTAACAAGGACTATTTGCGCAATCTTCAAGTGCAAAAGAGAACACGTATACGGAACCAAATGGATGTTGGTGAGTCCGTTTATGCGCGTAAATGTGGCATATGCTCGCAAACAGGACACAACCGTCGTAAATGTCCTTCAGGTGGTATGCGTGGCGGTGGTAATCCTGGTGCAAGTTCGTCCAATGTACCCATCTATCAAGGATACCCCTAGTCTTTTATTTTGGTATTATTTTTTGTAATACATGTCTGTAGTTGTGTTTGTTTCAATATATATGAAATACAATAAATTTCCACAATCTTGTTACATCTTATTTTTTAACGTTATATTTTGATATGGTTGTTCAAATATTGAGGTATGAGTGTTAGTAAACATGACCAAGAATGTGGTATAAAAAAAAATTTCGTTAAAAAATAAATTAAATATGTAAAGCGTGGTACAATAATGTATTTTATCAATTACAAAGTCGTTCTTAAAAAGCTGTAAAGCGTGGTTCAAAAGCTTGAATGAATGAAGAAAAAGCTTGTTTTTTTGCAGAGAAATTTAATATGTAATTTGCAGTATAATACTACGTTTTGTTGAGTTGTCATGTCGTTCTGAAAAAGCTGAAAACCACGTGAAAACCCTGTTTTTTTATCAGAATAATTAAATATGAAATCGCAGTATAATACTACGTTTTGTTGAGTTGTCATGTCATTCTGAAAAAGTTGAAAACCATGTGAAAACCCTGTTTCGTGTAAGAAAAATTTAATATGTAATTCGCAGTATAATACTACGTTTTGTTGAGTTGTCATGTCGTTCTGAAAGAGCTGACAATCATGTGAAAACCCTGTTTCGTGTNGTTGTTACAATATTGAACTTTTTTGTGTTAGTAACATGACCAAGAATGTAGGTTTAAAAAAAATTCGTAATTAAAAAATAAATTAAATATGTAAAGCGTGGTACAATAATGTGTTTTATCAATTGTCTTGTCATTCTCAAAAAGCTGTAAAGCGTGGTTCAAAAGCTTGAATGATTGAAGAAAAAGCTTTTTTTTTTTTTGCAGAAAAATTAAATATGTAAATCTCAGTATAATACTACGTTTTGTTGAGTTGTCACGTCGTTCTGAAAAAGTTGAAAACCATGTGAAAACCCTATTTTTTTATCAGAATAATTTAATATGTAAATTGCAGTACAATACTACGCTTTGTGTGAAATCTTGAATATAAATAACGGTCGCATGCTACTAATATTCTTCGCTTAAAAATAACCAAAGTTTCTCTATAAGAAATGTCTGAACAAAACGTTTATGTCCCAAGGTGCTACTGCGGAGAAAAATGTAGTTTGTACAAATGGTGGCCAGATGGTGGACGCCGCTACTGGGCATGTAAGAACAAGCTTGACGAGCTACCCGGCAAGCCTACATGTGAATTTGAGGTTTGGATGGATGAACCATGTAACCAGGAGTACTACAAAGAAAGAATTTATGACCTTCATTGCACTTGTACAAGCCAAGCGGTACGCGAGCGCCGAACCAACGATGAAATTGAGGCACTGAAGGCCAAACTCAACGAGGTAGAAGAAGAGGAAAAAAGCTGGAAGAACAACTCGAGTGGTTGGAGCAAATTGTAGTACGCGGTCGTGATTAAACAGTGGCTTGTACGTGATAAGCGTAGTAGTGTATTTTTATGTTTCCCTTGTCATGTGTTTTTATTAGTTCTACTGTTTGTATCTTTCGATTTGCCATGTTTGTCTTTGTGTTGTCATGTTCAAATAAAATTGTTGTTCAAATTCTGTTCCAATAAAAATGTTGTTATAGTAGAGTTGTTGTCATTAAATACATAATGTATTTTCTTCATAGAATTGTTCAAATATACAAGTTATTATTGTTGCTAAAGAACTCCAAACTAAAAAAATTTTAAGAAAATTATATGTAAAGCGTGGTATAATACATACGTTTTGTTGAGTTGTCATGTCGTTCTGAAAAGGCTAAAAAACATGTGAAAACTCTATTTCGTGTCAGAGAAATTTAAAATGTTAATCGTGGTATAATACTACGTTTTGTTGAGTTGTTATGTCGTTCTGAAAAGGCTGAACACCATCTGAAAACAGAATTTTTTTTAGAAAAATTAAATATGTAAATCTTAGTATAATACTACGTTGTTGAGTTGTCATGTCGTTCTGAAAAAGCTGAAAACCATGTGAAAACCCTGTTTCGTGTCAGATAAATTTAATATGTAATTCGCAGTATTATACTACGTTTTGTTGAGTTGTCATGTCATTCTGAAAGAGCTGACAATCATGTGAAAACCCTATTTTTTCATAAAAATTTAATATGTAATTCGCAGTATAATACTACGATCAATCTGAAATCTTGCCTATAAATAACGAGCGCATTCGAGTTACTTTCTGCGCTTAACAACACCCTTTAATCGAGATTTTCCATAAAATCAAACTTCTCTTTAAGAAATGTCTCAACGACCCCTTCGTTGCCCAAAGTGCGACCGTGAAATCAAAAGCATGATGTACAATGAATGTGAAGAAGCTGGACGCCACTACTGGGCGTGTATGAACAAGTTTTATAGGCAAAACGACGTATCTATATGCAATTTTAAGGTATGGGTTGATGAACCATGTGAGCAGAAATACTACAAAGACAAGTTGTATCATCTTCAAGATGTGTGTACGGGGCAGTGGAACAGAGAGCGCCAATCGAAGCAAGAAATTGAAGAGTTGAAGGCGAAGATCAAGGAGGTGGAAGAAGAGAAAAAAAATTGGAAAAAAAGCTCGAGAGGATGAAGCAAAGAATACTAGGCGGTCGTAACTAAGCAATGGCATTTACGTGTTGAGTGTTGTAGTGTATCTTCATGTTTCCTTTGTCAAGTGCTTTCATTAGTTCTACTGTTTGTTTTTGTGTTAGGTTTGTAAGGTTTGTGTTTGAGTTGTACTGTTTAAGTAAAATTGCTGTTCAAACGCAATTAAAATAAAATTATTATTAAAAGATAATTGTTACCATTATTTACATAAAGCACTATTTACACAAAGTTAATACATAAGTAAATCAGTGAGTGCCGCAGCATGTGTGCTTCAGTGTTGCTGCTGGCCTAAGTCGCATCCCCTGTCGCCCGGGCACACTATCTGGATCATCATCATCAAGCCGCCTCTTTATGTGAGGATGTGCAGCAGCATCGACACTACAGCTGGCAGGATCGGAAGAATAGCCGTCGGGCCGTCAGCAACCTACAAAACAAGAAGTAATCTTAGCCCGTGAAAATGTATTATTTTGATTTTTGTGTTAAGTAAAAAAATATTTTCTCACCGTGGTCTCGTCGGCCTCCTGGGTATATGCATCCGTGGTGTGCTCATCACCGCATGTAGTGTCCTCAAAGATGGGCTGGGACGAAGACTGCATAAGAAAGCAAAAATTAATTAATGGCAGCTCATTAAGGAAAAGAAAACAAATTGAAATATTAAACTAATACAAATATACCGCCGCCTGTGGTAGATCCGCATGAACTGCCGGGGATGAGGGATAACTCAACCTGCGCCAGCCATCCACGTCCCGGGTCGGCCGATCCTCAGCTGCGGTAGATGGGCATGCGAAGTACTACTCTACATCCCCGTCGAATGTACCCGTGATCGATAATGCTCCTGACGGGGTGACCTGCAATGCTGGCAGAGATAGCTGAAGGCTGTAAGAACGCAAGCTGCTGGAAGGTTCATCTGCCTGAGGTATATAACCCTGCTGATCATCTCCAAGCGCCTCAACTCCAAAGTCCTCATCCTGTCCCTCAGCATGTGGGTCTACAGGTGCTTCACCGCCCCATTGCTGGGGACCACCTCCTCGCCGTCTCCCACGACCCCCGCGATCCCGTGGGGCACCTCTGCCTCGTGGGGCACCCCTCCCTCGTGCCCTACCCCTGCCTCGCGAGACACCCCTACCCCGATGGTAGGCCTCTGGAGCCGCGTACTGAGCCTCGTGGTCCAACCTCGCGGCATCTCTCGCCTGCAACAGTGTCCGACGAGCCAACTGTGCCACCTGCCGGCCATATTCAACCACTTCAGGGATGTCGGCACGCCGCTGCATCTGCTGTCCCAACTGGTAGAGGTGATGATGCCCAATAGCCTGTGAAACATTTAAAATATTAATTAAATAACGCTATATCCAAATTATAAGATATTAATAAGCCACAAAAACATACCAGTGCCTCGAGCCTCCCGAGATACGGTCTGCAGCGCTCGTCAAGTACATGAATGGGGTTCCCGATCATCAGTCGGGTGTGACGGCGGTACCACTCAGTATACAGATGAATAGTGGCCTCCTGGGTAAATGTAGGTGGTGGCGGAATACGCTCAACTCGCTCCTCCCAATAAACTATCTGCTGTTGTGGCCATCCCATATACCGCTGGTCCATGCTGGCACGGTCGTCCCGCTGATAGTGTGTAGCCTCCCATCCAGGCTCCCTCGGTATAGGCTGGGGACGGTGAAACTGTCGAAGCACACGCTTTGTGGCATGATACTCAACGTGATCGAAGAAGATCATTGGGACAGAGGTGCTCCAAAGCAGCCGGTCGACTGAGCAACAAGCGGGCAGCTGAGCAACCAACTCGACGCTGTATGGCGTCCAGATGAACTACCAAATAATAACATAAAAGTGAGTACGCGCGATACAACTCAATTTAAAACAAGCAAGTGTAGGTACATTTTTACCTGTCCGTCCACTAACATATCTAACACACCCCTGACAAGGGGGAGATTATGATGAGCATCGCTCCCTCGGTAGTTCCCACACCGGAGAATCCACCTGACAGCTAGAGGGAGAAACTGATAAGCCTCACCAGGCCGAAGTGGTGGTAGAGGTGGCTGCAACGGCATGATCCGCTGCCAGTCCCAAACCTAAGAGAAAAGGTTGATGTAAAATTTATGAGTCATTTTACGATATAGAATTCAGAGTAATGAACAGAGTATTCGAAAATTTTGTCACCTGTAGGAGGGGCAGAAAACCACATATATCCACCGCTGGGCCCATGCTCGCCCGGCACATGCTCCTATACAGGTATACCAGAACAGCAGCACCCCAGCTGTACTGGGGTAACTCATCCAGCTGTTGGAGATGATGGAGAAAGCGCATACTCACTCTACTCCCCGAAATGTCCGGGAACAAGACACACCCGAATAGCAGGAGCAACGCCAACCGCGTGTACCTATCAATCCAAAGATCCTCCGTCTCGCCAGTAATGTCTGGGTGCAAAAACACTATCTGATCTCTAATGGCTGACAAAAGAACGCGACTGCCCCCAGCGCCACCCTCTGGTCTAAAACTAGTAAACTCCCCCATCATATCCAAAAACTGGGCACGCCTCATCCCTCTAATGTACTGGGGCAGTGCCACGGCCCGTCCATCTACGCGCAGCCCGTAAAAAACCTGAACATCCTCCAGCGTGATGGTGGCCTCTCCGGTGGGCAAGTGAAAAGTATGCGTCTCCGGTCGCCACCGCTCTACCAACGCCATGATGAGAGACCAATCGAGCTGCATCCGTCCAAGCTCAAAAATCGTATAGAAGCCCGTAGCCTGTAGGCGCTCGACTATGCGGCCATGGAAAAGATGCTCTGCGATGAACTCCCACAAATCGTCGGGTCTCCTGGGGCGGAGAGGCTGCTCCGATAGCTGTCCCTCCCATACAAAGGAGGACCTATGGTCGCCCTGCAGCACTAATAGCTGATCCTCGGCAGGTCCAAGATGCGCAGGCGGAGGAAAGGCCATGTCGTCTACTATAATTTAAACAAAATTTATTGTGTGTGTTAGTTTAATAAATTAAATAATTAATTATGTTTAGTACTGGACTGAATAATTACGTATGTGTTCCAGGCTCAATTTTTGAGGTCCGGTAGCATCAAGCTATCCTTAATTATTATGTGTGTCATTTCCAACATTTTTAAATTAAAAATTAAATTAAATTAAAAATTCTTGCATCGGACTGCATAATTAAGTATGGGTTCCAGGCTTGATTTTTGAGGCCCGGTAGCACCGACTTATCCTTAATTATTATGCGTGTCAATTTCAATATTTTTAGAATATTATTAGCTTAATAAATTAAATAATTAATTATGTTTAATAATGGACTGAATAATTATGTATGGGTTCCAGGCTCGATTTTTGAGGCCCGGTAGCACCGAGTTATCCTTAATTATTATGTGTGTCAATTTCAATATTTTTACAATTTTGTTAGTTTAATAAATTACATAATTAATTATGTTTAATATTGAACTGAATAATATGAATAATTATGGCTTGATTTTTGAGGCCCGGTAGCACCGAGTTATCCTTAATTATTATGTGTGTCAATTTCAATATTTTTATAATTTTGTTAGCTTAATAAATTAAATCATTAATTATGTTTAGTATTGGACTGAATAATTATGTATGGGTTCCAGGGTCGATTTTGGAGTTAATTTTATAACATATATTAATTTGTTACTTTTGTAAGTTTATTGTTATAAATTAGTTAATTAATTTTTGTAAAGTGTAATCTAAAAGGCTCTACTATGCTAAAAGGCTATATATTTTACTACACTAAAAGGCTCTACTACACTAAAAGGCTCTATATTTTACTACACTAAAAGGCTCTATATTTTACTACACTAAAAGGCTCTATATTTTATTACACTAAAAGG